CTTGGAAAACTTGCTCAAAATCCCCGAAAAACCAGTTTTGTAACCAAAAGCAATACAGATTCTGGAAGTAGACACTTCAGGCTATCTTTCCATGTGTGTATCTTAAAACCGATTTTTTGACCGAAAACCACCATTTCTGAGGGGGGGAGGCCCTTAAAGTTTGAGAACTTATATAACTGTTGGTATAAACGCAGACACGAAAAGTTACGTAAAAACACCGACACCGGCAAGAAAACCGTTCTAAACGGTACATTCGTCACCAAAAAGATTAGTGAAAACCGATGATTTGAGACAATAGAACCTCTTTTTCGGTTGAAAACCATGCGATGGGTTTTTTGAAAAAATCCGATTCTGATCGCGGTATCGTTGAGAAAAAGATAGAACTTTTCTTTCTTTTAAAGAAGTTTTATTTTATAGCAATGGCAGTTGCAAAATAAAACAGTGAATGAAATTCGACGGTTTTCAGGCGATTTTATCTGATTATTCCATTAAAAAGGTCGTGTAGAATGCCGTTTGAAAAGAAGCAAAGCCGTTAAAAAACCGCGTGTTAGAACCCGATATAAGTGCAAGAAACTGTCGATAAAAAGTTTTCAACCGCTAATACCCTATTAAGTCTGCCAGTAATCGGGCGGTTGTCGGTTTTTCTTCGTGCTTGATAATAAAAAACGAAATTAGCATCTTCTCTTGACTATTGCTCGACATTTTTAGTTCTATAGTAGTATTAGTAAAAATACTTTGGAAAATCTAGACTAATAAAGACAACGAAATTTGAATTTTTTTGAACTTGAAGGATTTTTCGGGTTTTTACGGCCTTCAAGTTGATTAAATTTTTTACTATGAAAAAGATTTTTTCAAAAATTAAAAAATATATTTTCTGAACCAGCTCGATGCGCTCTATCCAGCGATGCATAATAAGTTGGAAAAAAAATTTTCTGTAAGTTTGCATTAGGCACACCTTATCTTCTTTTGACTATTGCCCGCAATTTTCAGTTCTGTATAGTATTGAGAAAGATAGAGATCAAAAATAAAACAAATTAGGTAGTTTCTTTTGTGCTCCTCTTAAATTCAAAGTTAAATTATTATAGAAACATGTGTAGTAGTGACATCTTTCATGTAAGTTCACTTCTTTCACACTGTCTGTTGCACGCAAAAACTAAATCAGACAACGGCTAGACCGAATTTTATGAAATTTGAAACTTAATAGTTTCAAAGGATACTCTTTCAAATGGTGATTTCAAAAGAATTTTCAATCTTCATTTATATAAGACTTCTAGAAAACCATGGTTTTGTAAGGGTGGTTTTAGACGAGAAACTATTTTTTTTTACTTTAATTTTGATTGCAAAGTTTTTTGGTTAATGTACGCTTGTAGAGAAATGTTTGAGCTACATTTTGAAAAAAAATCATTGAAAACTTATTTTTGTCGTATTTTGAGTCTTAAAATTGAAATAGCTCAATTTTTCTTATGGCAACCAATATTTTGAAATATACCGCTGGAAAGAGCATGAAAAACTGAACAAACGAAGATTTGCGAGGATTTAAAAGTAAAATTATAAGCGGTTTTCTAGACATCTCAGAGGTTTACATGTCTTTATCAAATTTTAATTAAATAATAGAAAGAGTTTGGGGTTTAAAAACGTTTTCTAAGAGTTTTGGAGGCTTTCTGGCATTTTCGTCTCTTTTTCTTTTCATGAAATGATATTGTTCTTAATGCTGTGTACCTAGCCTATCCGAAGCATGTGTTGCAAGATCCGACATCCTTTTGTTGAATTGAACTGCTTATAACTTTACTAGTCAACCTATATTTGAATCTATCGCTCTGTTTATCGCATGAAATATTTTCTTAAAAATAGAAAAGTGTTGTTCTGTGCTTTGGATGGTATTCTGACCAGTATTTTTTGTCTCTTTCTTCTTTACTCGGTTGTTAAAGTGTTTTGTTACTATACAAAAACTACATATTTTGTTCAAGCATCTCTATCGATATAACAACAACCATCTCGTATTTTTTATACTCTACTTTTTTTTATTCTGAAGTATTGTTGTCCTTCTTCATGCCAAAATGAAAATCATAAACAGAAAAATAATTAGATATGAAGCAAGTTTTTTATTATTGATTCTTTACTCATACACCACCGAAAGATATGTTTCATGATAAATACGGCAGCGATTGAAAAATTCTGAGTTTCTATCGATTGCTTTGTTTAACAAAGTCAACTAAACGACAATTACAGCTTTTTTCTGATTCTTTGTTTATTTAACAAAACAGATGTTTTTTTAACAAAACTAGTCGTCTTATTGAATCACTCACTACAAAAACTATTTTTTAAGTGTTCACCTATACTGAGTAAGTGAGTGAGAGAAAGAGAGAGACAGGCGAAGAATAGAAGAAAAAATGTTCTTTACACTCAAATGATAAAACATTTTGTTCAACTTAGAACTTCTTTATATTAACATGACAGTATGGCTATTCCACTTGACATGATTAATGGTAACACAAATCGTAGTCACTATTACGTGACTCACGGATTCCACTCGGATCTTTATGCTATCGACACACTACCAAATGATTCACTTGAAATACAAGGTACACGAGTTAAACCTATGATCGATCATTCGTTTTGGTCGTATTATCCTGGAGATGCTAGCATGTTGTACAAAGTAAGCTGGTATTATCAACATCATATAATTCACAAGATTAAAACTAGAAATTAATATTCAGTTTGTTCTTCTATACTGGTAAATCTATTCTATCTGCTGTTTTTCTTAGAGATCAACAAGTTGGAATCCACAACAATCACGAATCACAAAAGAAAACAAAGAATATATGACAGCAGTAAGCTTATGAAATAATATAGTATTTATTTCTAGTCATAGTTGTAGCTAGAACCAGCGTTAGAAGTTTTTACATCAAATTGTTTTCTCATTTTGAACCTGAGGATATATTATTAAAATAATTCATTGAACTCTTTGATTCATGTTCAAACGTTATAACTAATAATAGAGAAAGAGAAAAAAATCTATTAGTCAACTCTGTTGGAGGTCTTTTTCTTTCTACTATTGTTCACGCAGCGAAATGAAAACTTTTTTTAAATTTTAGTTAGCCAAAGGTTCGGTACGAGAAGATACACAAACACAACAAACACAAATTGAAACAGGCGATGTATTTTCAAAACGGTGGCACCCTATTTTCTCACCGCAAAATCATAGTCGACAAGGAAAACGGTATATCGTGTCTTTTTTTAACATAAATAAGTGTGCCACTTTAATCAGATTTCTTAGAAAAATATGAGAATTTCAAAATTGTTTCTAGTATTTCAATCGGAATGTTTAAATTACTTCTTACTTTTCATTTATAGTCAAAAGCCTCCAACGTCTGCTCCTGAAACTCGTCATCCTCTCATACATTTCGTCGAACAACGTCCAACAACCGCACCTGTAATCATCGAGCGTCCTCGTGCACTATCAAAAGCTGTTGTCATCGATACACCCGTTTCACCATTGAAAACATTTTCTGAAATGACATCTAAAGTACCATTACGTCCACCTCGTCTTATTGATACATCGAATAATTTTGATAATTTACGAAATGAATCATTCTTAAGTTTGACTGACGGTCTCAAATCAGTTATATTTAAATCGGAAAATAATTTTGTTCAACAATTGTGCAATGGTAGCGATTTATTAATGAATACGAGTAGTTACAATGATAGTTTGGATGATTTAGATGATAAAGAAAATCAACCACTCACTGACAGTAGTATGTCACAAACACTGCAAGACCTAGAAACATCAAAAATCTATGATGAGAATGAAAATGAAGATGATTTGCCAATTCTCCATCGTGACATACAAACCAAATTGAAAAAAAATCAGCCGGTAAATAACAAGAATGAGAATAGTGTACATTCAACATTAAAAACCGATAAAAACGTAAGTCTGTTTTTCATATACTGTGCCTTCAACGAGGCTTTAAAGAGATGATGTGTCAATTTTATATGTCAAAGTAAAGAAATTACCTAATAGGTTTCTTTAATTATATGATATCAGAAATACACTTGTTTGAGTTTTATTATAAATACTCTAGTCTAATTTTTATCCGTGATTACTGACAGGAACATATCCATCATTCTTTAGACGAAAAACGAGAAGACAGATATTCAAGAAATGAATCATGGAACTTGGCAGCGGAACAAAGATGGACGTATTATAGCAATGACAACGACAAGTGATATGAGAAAATCAGGAAAATTGGAGCGTCCTTCACAGCAAGCTCCACCATCCACTGTTGCAGAAGATCAAATTATCGAACTGGAAAAGAGACAAGTTGATGAACGTGAAAAAGAAATGGATCTATTTTCGTTTGACATGCCATCCATACCATCGACATGCGATTTACTCTATGAATTTAAATCACCATTTACGGAAGAATATGATGTTGCTATCCAAACACAATCGAGTATGATAACAGAATTTAATTTAAATGATTTCTATCGTAACGTTAAGATACGACTAGACAATGGAACAAATGCGAAAATGGCTTTTGAGCGTTGTTTAAAAATGTCGAGACTACAATCAGCGACAATCAAATGGGAACAAAGACGTCGACAAACACTATCTTTATACAATCGAATGCTAAAAACAGCAACTGCCACTGACGGAGGATCATTACAGAACACTAATAACAGTAATGCGCTTTTAAATTCAAGTTTTTCTATGTCGAATTCAGCGTCTAATACTAAAGAAAACAAAGAAATCTCTGAACTCAAACGTGAATTACGTTGTAATGAATGCAAACGAATAAACTGTTCAGGTAACTGTGCACCCGGTCAAGAATATTATCTCTACAAACGTGTTGCATCATCGATACCCAGTCAAATGAAAAAAGATCAACAACCACCTCAAACAAAATGTAAACAGGGATGTATCGTTTGTAATTGTCGTGCAACAACATCCGAAGTTATCAACGCTAATCAAGTCATAAATGGTGGACGATTAAAATCATCAAAAGTTACTTATTCGTTTGGTCAAAAATCGCATAGACCCACCGATCTGCGACCAAAATCAATGAGTCAGGTGACGAAAGATATGAAAATGAAATTTCAGCAGGCGAATTTATCTCCGATAAATATTGTCGAAACAGACGGCATGGCGTTAAAACGTTCGTCATTGAAACAAAACGGGCTATTGCCAGGAAAATCGTTCCGTTCTCAGAGAAGAGAATCATTGTCAGTTAAGCAACAATAGAAACTTCTTCTACTTTTAATATTATATAGCACAAAAGCTGAAATTTTTTCATTTCCTGGAATTATCATGTTTTATATAATTTTCTTTAATCGCTTTACTCCTTGAAATGAATGAGAAACATAGGAAAATCTCTTAAAACTTTCAAACTGGTTTTCGACTTTCAGAAGTTATGAAAATACAGACAGACAACAAAGTGAAAACGTTTTTAAGCC